GGGGGAGGACCCTCACGTGCGCGCCCGCGCTTGGTGTGTCGCTCGCGTGAGAGCCTGTGATCAGCGCCGTCAGTCGCCTTTTCAGGAGGTGTCCCCCCGCATGCTTTAGTATGCATGTCACCGCCGGGGTTTCTTAAGCCTTTGGGCACTAGCAGGCGAAAAGAAGAAGAATAAAAAAAAAAAAAAAAGGAGGAAAAAAAAAGTTCCAAATAGGATTTAGCATAAGCTTGAGGAGATTTGGAAAGGTTTCAAAGATCAGGCTGTATCAAAGGCTTATGAAGCCCTCGTTAGCTGTAGAAATATAATAGCATGGCAGGCTATCCCATTTGAGGAACCAATGTCTGTATTATTTCACTATGACAGGCTAAAGGGAGAGAAAGTTGAACAGTTTCCACAGAGGAGTTGGACTAAGTTGAATATAATGAGCAAACGCCACATGTATCCATTATGTCCCTCTATTCATTCCCAATCACTGCCATAACTCTTTGACTAAACGATGATGAGCGCTGAATTACACACAATGCCCGGCTCATATTAAAATACATTTAAGACCTATCCCTCCTGGTGCCCTGTTACGCCTATTCACAGGATTTTCTTTTTGTCCTAACAGGGCCTCTCTGGGAAGCAACACTAGTCTCGTTCCAGAAGAACAAAATAACAGCATGAGGCTGAAACCTGGCAGGGACCAGGGGGAACGAAACCATCTGCCCGGGCAGGGCCGGAGGCGCAGCGCAGAGCGCAGCCGAGCTCTGTGACCTGCCCCGGCCCGGCCCGGCCCGGCCCGGCCCTGGTCCCCATGTGGGAGACCTGCCCAGGGAGGTGGGGGGCCGCATGCAGCCGGCTCAGGGGGTCACATGGAAGTACCCAGTGCACCTGGAAAATGGCATTCCCTTCCTTCCCTCTTTCCTTTCCCTCTTCTCCTTCTTCCTTCCCTCCTTTCCTTCTTCTCTCCCTTTCTTCCTTCCTTTCCTTCTCATCTTCCCTCCCTCCTTCCTTCCCTCTTTTCCTTTCTTCCCTCCTTTCCTCCTTCCTTTTCTCCATCTTTCCTTCCCTCTTCCTCCTCTTTCTCCCTCCCTTCCCTCCTTTCTTCCACCTTTCCCTCTTCTCTCCCTCCTTCCTTCCCTCTTCTTCCCGTTCTTCCTTCCTCCTGCCTTCCCTTCTTCCTTCCCTCTTTTTCTCCCTCCTTCTCTTCCTTTCTTCCACCTTTCCCTCTTTCCTTCCCTCTTTTTCTCCTTCCCTTCCCTCCTTTCTTTCATCTTTCTCTCTTCCTTCCCTTCTTCCTTCTCCCCTTTCTTCCTTCCTCCTTCCTTCCCTCCTTCCTTCCATCTTTTCCTTCCTCCTTCCCTCTTCCCATCTTCCTTGCCCCCTTCCTTGACTCCTTCCCTCTTCCCATGTGTCAGGGTACCTCGGAGATGCGCTTTAAAGGAAGAGGGGGGAAAATTCAATGTGCTTCCCCACCTCCTGCCCCCTAACCCCGTCTGCTCTGAAGAGCTCGGACAAAAGGGAGCTCCGCTCCGCTGCGCCCACGAAGCGCCGGCACAAAGCAGCGGGGCCGGGGCAGCTCGGGGCGGGCGGCGGCGCTGCGCGGGGCT